GCGCCACCTGGCGACAGGACGCGGGCCGAGATCAGCCGAGCTCGCCCCGAGCTCGAGCGGACGGCACTGGGACGGCTCGCCACACCGACTCACCATGCGAGAGTGGAGCCATGGCCGCGCCGCTTCCACCGCTTCCGCCCCGCCCGCTTCTCCCGCTTTTTCTTTTTCCGCCGCCACCGCGGGCCCCGCTTCCGCTTCGGCTTCGGCTTCTTCGGCCTCTTCCTCTTTTTCCGCCTCGCCGCCAAAGAAGACCGCCAGGGCCAGGGACACGCACGCGCGCTGGAGCACGGCAGCCGCACCCTCGCGGGGCATCGCCTCGGGGGGGGGGGGGGGAGCAGGCCGCGCTTCATTGATCAACCAACTAGCACTTGCATATTAAGGCACGAATCCATCGCCCGAGCGCGGCGCCTCGGGGAGAGGGAGCAGGCCGAGCGATCTGCCTGTGAGCTTCAATCCACCCTTCTCAAGAATAAGAAATACGGGTATGTGGCGTGGCAAGCCGAGCGCGCTGCCGGCGCGGCCGACGAGGCGCTGCACACGGAGTGTCTCCTGAACAAAGAACAAGACGAGGATGGGCGGCGGTGTTTCTTTTAATCAGGCCGTCTCCACGGCGAGCGCCACCTCGTCGTGCGCCCAGACGTTGTACGAGAGCGAGATGGGCGAGAGGGCGGTCACCTGTGCCCAGAAGGTTCCTGGAAGGTTCCTGGAAGGCTCCCGGAAGGCTCTCGGAAGGCTCGAGGTGGGCGAGAGGGCGGTCACCTGTTTGCAGCGGCCTGCCTCCTCCCTCGCCTCTCTTCATTTGTGTGTTGTCCGCCCAGGAGGGCGGTCGGGAGGTCAGGCACGTGGTGAAAGACAAACGGCGCGAGCAGCAGCACGTCGCCAGCCTGCAGCTCCACCGCCGTCGCCCCGTCGCTGCCGCCGCCCAACGACGTGCGGGGGGGGAGTTGCGTCCTGCGAGGGGAGGCGCGTGTTGGAAGAGGCACGACGCACCCCGCAAGGTGACGCAATGGGGAGGACACAGGGGGAGGTGTGGGGAGGTGTGGGGAGACATGGGGAGATACGGGGAGGTATGGGGAGATGAATCGAGCAGCCGCGCCTCCGAAAGTGCGGGTGCAGGTACGGGAAGGGCAGTAGCGCGTCTCCTGATCAAAGGTGAGGCGAGGCAAGGTAAGCTTCTCCACACACACGACGGTGGTGGGGCAAGGGCCAGGGCAGCCCTCGCGACTCCACGTCTAAAAGACTGGAGCCTCACGGCATTCAAAGTGCAGGGGTGGCTCTGCAGCACGGGCGTGTCGGTGTTTCGGTGCTTCGACGGCGAGCCTGTTATCGCAGAGGTGAGCAGGAAGGTCTTGCGCCTGATGGCGACAACTCCCTGGTCCATTCGACGGCGCGGGGAGGAGAGCGCGCGGGCGCACAAGAGTGCGCCCGTGCAGCTGGCAAAACGCGTTGTGCGACGCGTCATAGTGGTTGAAGGCGGTCACGCCGCCGCCGCCGAGCCAGACGTTCTCGGAGTGTACCTGACGCGAGTGACGAGCCGAGATTCGCCGAGATTTCCGAGATTCGCCAAGATTCGCCGAGAGTACAGCCAGACTTCTCTCCGAGTGCACCTGACGTGGCCGACACAGCTTCACCACATTGTGATGCCACCGGCGCCTCTAGCAGCCTCCAGAGTGGCTCGCGCCGTCTCGCCGCCAGCGTGGCCGGCAGAGCCGCCGACTAGACGCACGAGCGCGTCGACGTCGAGCCGAGTGCGCACGTGCTGGGCAGTGCGGCTGCTGTTCGACGCCGAGAAGTAGACCCATTCTCTGACCGGACAGGCCTCCGCGGCTGCAGCCTGCGCCTGCCACGCTGTGGCGGCGGCGGCGCTCTTGAGGATCGCGACCAGGTCCGCGGCGGTGGCGTTGGACCGCAGAGCAGGCGCGAGCCGGCGACGCTCAAAGCCCTTCACGTTGGCGAGCGGCTTCTTCTCCGAGTAGTAGACGACCTCGGGTTGGAGGCTCCGCTCGACGGCCGCGTCGAGGCGAGGCGCGGACGTTACGAGCGAGGCGGGTGTGAGCGTGGCACAGGCGCCACGCAGGAGGAGAAATGGCTGGGCCGCAGGCGAAGGGATGGTCGTGTTAAGGGCGTAGACGTCGTGTGGTCGTGAGGCCGAATGCCACCGGGCCCCACCACGATTCAGTAGCGGCAAACGCACGGAAATTTTGGTGAGTCGTCTCAGTCTCACGTGAATTCGTCCCTGTCTCACTCTCAGCGTCTCAGCGGTGTCTCAATAGATCCATCACTCCGTCTCACTTCCGTCTCACTTCCGTCTCTGACTGCCTTCTCGTCCGTCTCAGCGCGGCAGGCCCGAGAGTGCCGAGATTGCCCAAGATAACCCGTGCAACCTCATGAGGTGGTCGGGGCAGTGTGGCAGGCGCCCGAGAGTACCCGAGATCGCCCTCGTGATGTGGTCTGATGTGCAGTGGTCACCTCGGGGCAGTGGCAGGAGCCCAAGCACGCAACCTCGGCAATCTCGGGTATTCTCGGGCGCCTCCCACTGCCCGACCACATCACGACGTTGCACGGGT